TCTGATCAGGATCCATGCTGTTCGCTATCAGTTGCTTTACTTGTTATAGGGTTGGTAAGTGAACAGCATGGGTCCTGATCAGACTGCGCGGATGTGCAGGCTGGTCTGGATCCATGCTGGTCGCAAACCCATTATGTTGGTTTTGTCATGACGCAGCTCAAATAGTTTTAGTATCATACGTGAAAATCAGCCACAAAATACTATATGTAAAGATGTTGTTAGTAAGAGTAAGATATATTATCCGATTTGAAATATCTTTATATAGCAGAATAATTCTTCTAGAACAAAATATAATTATTCATCTGATATAAATGTCCATATTAAACCACTTTTCAAAGAAAATTTCATAAGAAAATCCACATGATAGATTTTTATTGATTTTGTCAATATTTGAAATATCAATGGAATAATTCATACATCATTTGCACATGGGACTGATGATATGAGCAAATTGTAGATCACATCATAAAATACCGGTACAAGGGAGACAACAGTGTTTAAATTGAAAACTTATAGTTGTAGTATTATCGCCCTTTGTATAAGTTTTTGCCTTAACCCATACTAAGAGGAACATTATGCGTTTTCCAACATGTTTTTTATAATGTTTACATAATGGATGAAGTGCATGATAGATGTTTACGGCTGAACATGGAGTTATGTGTAGTAAAGGTAGCAAAATGCAAACAAAGTAGTATTTTGACTTTCAAACAAAATATTTATTCACTATAAATATACCAATTGCCAACAAAACTTAAGATGCAAAAGATAGTTCATGAATATAGCCAATGAGTATGTTTTTGGAAACTGTAACAGTATGCCCAAAATAAGCAATGTTAGAGAAATAAAAATGATAGTATTTCTGAGAATTGGCCTTTAACGTGCCAACATTTCAACATGACGTTTGATCAAAAAGGCGTTGAATCTAATCAGTCATTGATTTTTTTATCACAAAATGGGGTCATTTTTTTTACATTAACGTCCGTCACAGTGTGTGTACAGTAGAGAAACATTTGAAAGATGTTTTCAAAAAGCTGAGCCATGGCTAAAACGTACAACTTTACCGAGATGGGCAAGATAATTTTATAAGCCAGAACTAACCCTTGGTCCATCTTCACCCATCCTTGTTAATTCCTGTAAATTTATACATTTTAACACAAGTGGAACATCTTTCTCTACCATAAGCTTGCTTTGATTCAATTTCAACATAATAATAAAAAGATTTACAATCATGTCCCGATAAAGAACTTGATTTGGAAAAGTAAATCGGAATCTGTCAAATAACTGTTACGGTGGACCCATGATTTCAGGTTTGGGAGCGTAAAACTTGCAGAAGTAAATGAATGATGTATCATTGTGAGTTTTGGTGTCATTTTCTACCTCCTTTATTCAGTCACCATTTGTACTAAAAAATATGATTTCACAGGTTTTAGACTAAATAGCAGATTTAACCAAGCCAAAATTGATAGTATGCACAATCACGCAGGATACGCCAAAGTAAAAGAACCGATACTCTGTGCGAATCTTTATCAAAATATACAAAATGTAACCATATTCAGTACTTAAGCAAATAGCGTCTTTAAAGATTTTTCTAGTGTTCCTACGCCATTTTGATTATTTCAAAGGCGATACTATATGGGTTAAAAGAGGACTTGCAGCTGTAACATGCAATTTGTAAAACACTGTGAACGGCATATTTTGTTTTTAATTTGAGCCGCGTCACGACAAAACCAACATAATGCGTTTGCGACCAGCATGGATCTAGACCAGCCTGTGCATATGCGCAGTCTGATCAGGATCCATGCTGTTCGCTTACCAACCCTTTTACAAGTAGAGAATATGATGGCGAACAGCATGGATCCTGATTTACAATTTCTATAAATTTGTCAAGAATTAGTTTATCATGTGAAACGTATGTATGTTATATTGGCAATGAATTTTATACATTTGTATTTAATTAATGTTATATATTGAATTGACCAGATACATTTTATAGGTATACATCACAACAGCAGGTGTCAAGTGCCATGTGGCAGCCGTAAAAAGTTGCCCCATACTTCACTTGTAGTGTTGTTATATATATTATTCTGGTCTCTCGGGATCATTGATTCCAGCACTTTTTAGTGTTGAAAATTGGGTAATGCTCAAGCCGGTGCTAGGGGGCATGAGGGGTGTTGCACTTTTTAATCCCTCATGTATAGACTCAATCAAACAAAGTCCGCAATTTTCATGTAATTTTGCTAAATCTTAATGCTTCTGACTGATCACCTTTATGATTGAAAATAAGACTTGCAATCAAAATCAATAAAAAAATTCCCACTGATGTAAAATTATACACAAATTCAACTTAATCCTTTACCTCATATATACGGGAAACACTTTCGACCCCCACCCCCCGCCCTTTTTTAGGCCTGAAAGAGTGAAAAAAATGTCATGTTTGGACCCAAAACACATGTTTTCGTTTGAGAATTGATAAAAAAGTGATCATTTTTTCGGCGCTGACCCCCATTTAAAAGGTACATCAGGGGGTTGCCAGAAGGGGAATGTGCCCCTTCTGTTTGGGGGTTTGAATGGGGGGCGGTAGTCCCCCTCATCGCCAAGAAAATGTTGGACTTGTGAGAGGCTGAAAATAGCCCCAGGTCGATCATAAGGTAACATGTAACCAACGCTGAAAAGCCTTTGACTCTATCTGAATCCATTGAGAAGTTGCAGCACTTTGAAATCAATTTTGATGGACAAAATCTACGCAAAATAGTGATTTTTGGCAATTTTGAGATGTCCCCTCGTTGCCATGGTAACAGGAAATTTAAGACTGAGCATGTCCTTACAAAGGCAATGGTCCAGTCAACATTTGTGCCAAGTTTGATTAGTATTGAAGCATTTTTCATAGTTTCACAGCAGTTTGAACTTGTAACAGGAGGCTTTTCACTGAAAACGGCCATTTTTCACAATATGCTCATGTGGGAAAGGGTTAAAGTTAGACATTTTGTATTTTCGGTTTCTACAACCATGATAAGTATATAACTAGAAATGTGTCATCATGCCACGGATGCCCCCGCATGCAGCCAAAATTTCAGATGGTGCATTAATTATTTTTTTCATTTTAAGTTCAAAGCCCTTAAAACTTTTCAATGTTAACACAAACCATTTTCATACAATGTTCAAGGCACTGAAATTATTCAGTCTTAACCTTTTAAAAATAGCATATTGCATATTAAATTTTTGTAGCCAAAATAATGGCTAAAAGTATGAGTGCTGAAACTGAAAGTTCAAAATTTTACCAACATTCAGGAAAGATAAGTCTGTCTAAAATCATTGAACCACGACCAAATTCAAACTTAAACTGCTTATTCCTAAGATGTATCTATATTACTTTCAAAGTGAAAGGGATATAACTCTGCCAAAAAATCATCAAACCATGACCAAATTCCAACTTGACCTGCCCATTCCTTTGACATATCCATATGTCAAATTTAAGTTGAATATGTAACACTGTTGGGTAGATAATAAACAGAAACTGTAAATTTCATATTATTTTCAAAGTGAAAGGGGCATTACTCTGCCAAAAATCATTGAACCATGTCCAAATTCGAACTTGGCCTGGGCATTCCAAAAACATATCCATATGTCAAATTTGAGTTGAATGTGTTGTACCATTGGGGAGATAATAAACGGAAACTGAAAATTTCATATTACTTTCAAAGTGAAAGGGGCATAACTCTGCCAAAAATCATTGAACCATGACCAAATTTGAACTTGACCTGCGCATTCCTTTGACGCATCCATATGTCAAGTTTGAGTTGAATGTGTTGTACTTTTGGGGAGATAATGAACGGAAACTGAAAATTTCATATTGTTTTCAAAGTAAAAAGGGCATAACTCTGCCAAAAATCATCGAACCATGACCAAATTCAAACTTAACCTGTATCTTTTACATGACATATCCATATGTCAAGTTTGAGTTGAATGTGTTGTACCTTTGGGGAGATAATGAACAGAAACTGAAAATTTCATATTATTTTCAAAGTAAAAAGGGCATAACTCTGCCAAAAATCATCGAACCATGACCAAATTCGAACTTGACCTGTATTATGTCATGACATATCCATATGTCAAGTTTGAGATGAATGTGTTGTACCTTTTGGGAGATAATGAACGGATACAGAAAATTTCATATTATTTTCAAAGTAAAAGGGGCATAACTCTGCCACAAATCATCGAACCATGACCAAATTCGAACTTGACCTGTATTTTCTCATGACATATCCATATGTCAAATTTGAGTTGAATGTGTGCAATCGTTCTTAAGATAATGAACGGAAACTGATGATGACGGAATGACAGAATGACAGAAGGATGGAAGGACGGAAGGATGGAAGGACGGAATGACGGAACAGGGTAACACTATATGCTATAGTGTTCTATTTATGTTGTCTTCTAAAGATGTTAAGACATCATTTTTTATAACATAGTCATACGTTGACCTTTTCTTGTTTACAATGTTCATTTATCACAAGGAAATACTTATCAAACAGATTAAACAAAAGTATTTAAAAATTCTAATGTTACATCAAAGATTTATTGTTTATTGGTTATATTTGGGAAGCAAATAAAAAATTAAATAGTGCTATCTGATCTGCCCGTCAAGTCAGGTGTTAGCCTTGCAATTTTACAAGGTCAAGGTCATTTGTGAAGACAATCCATTAAAAAAATAAGGTTATAGCCACTAATAGCAAAAATCATCCAAAAAAAAGCAAAAATTTAGACATTAATCTTGAATCGGAAACGGCTACAGGAGCGGAAACGGCTACAGAAGCGCTGATATGACTGTAACAATACCTCTACTTTTTTTTCTCAAAAAAAAAGGCGAGCTAAAAAAAGGCAAAATATATCTTTGACATTCTATATTTTATTGTTTTACATTTTACTTATAACAAGTTACCATTTGTATAATACAGTCAGTACGTGACAATAATGAAAGGTATCAATTTAAATTAAGGAAGAAAAAAAGCTTCGCAAACACTTTCATGTCATCTCCAACTCCAAAGTTTCATTATAGTACTGTCAATTAAACATAATAAAAGTCTACTTAAATTATACACTGAGAGTACTAAAAATATTAAGATTTTAATTACGACATTACATGTATTTCCGAAGATAAAGTCAGCACTTTGAATATTAATACATATATTAATACTAACTTTCTTAAATCATTATATTGTCACTTGATAGGTCCATCAAGTTTGTGTAATTCAGTATACACATATTTCCCTGTACATGTGTATATGTCAAGTTTGTGTAATTTAGTTAACACATATCTCACTGTACAATGTCACTACAAAATGAGCATCAGTGTGTTACATCATCAACACATATGTCATATGTACATTATCTCACTACACAAACATAGTTCACCATCGTGTTATTAAGTTTTTATAATTAACACATATGTCATATGTACTATATTTCACTACACAGACCTTATCACTGAGTTTGTTGCTGATTTTGTCCTTCCTGTGAATTTTGGGGAGGCCTGAAAGAAAGAAACATTAAATTAATTTAATTTGTCATTTTTTGTTTGTTTGTTGTGATTAAATGAAACAAATACTGGTACATCTTACTAAGGAATGGTACAGCTTACTGACAAAGAAAAATTTCAGATGCTTTTCTATTCATATAGACATGTACATGGCCAAAATTCTGTGAAAGCTAGGTTTGAAGACTCCTCATGTTAAATATGCAAAGTCCATTGGATACAGTGGCTAAAAGTAAATTTTGAAATACTGAGACTCTGTATAGTTTGTTGAGCTAAATGGAAATGGTAATTTAATCACCTTTTTATGTAGCTGGAATTTACCACAAAAGCCTTTTCTTATTTTGAAACAAGTACAAACCAGTTTCTTAGCAAGTAAATTACAATTCAATAACAAAAATAATTTCAATTAGAAGTTTAGAACAAATAACATTAAACATATTGTCTTCTAGAAAAACATCAGACTAACTCAGGATACAAACTTGTAAATACAAGGCCTGTAATAGGGGCGTCTGTGAGTGGTTAATGTTGTTGACTTCAAACCACTTGCCCCTCACCGCTGTGGGTTTGAATCCCGACAGGGACTTTGGATTCTTTGATGTGAGGAAGCTATCCAGCTAGCTTACCATACGTCAGTGGTTCTACTCAGGTGCCCGTTCGTGCCTGAAATAATGCACAGAAGGGCACCTGAGGTCTTCCTCCACCAGTAAAGCTGGAACATCCTTAAATGACCTATACTGTGTCGGTGTGATGTAAAACCCAAACAAATAAACAAAGCCTGTAGATCTCACACACAACCTACTAAGTTTTATCATGCTTAATGATAAAATATTACAGAGAATAATTGCACAAATGCACTATTCTGATACAGATAGGTTGTATTTCTCCAGTGAATGCAACTTTACACAATTCACAAGAGTGATACAAACCCATCAGAAAAGTTACACATAAAATGTGTAAAGAAAATCTAAACAAAACAAGTAGTCAAAAATGTTCAATGCCCATTCAATGATTACTGTGAATTCACTTTATTTTGTGGGGCATGAAATTAAGTGGTTTTGTCATAAAGAACATTTTCAAGGGATCTTAAATATGTGGACTGTCTAATGTTCCAAAAAGGTAAATGTAAATAATGTTATTCAAAATAATTTTACAGCAGACAAAATGAAATTTTGATGCATCTTAAACTTAGCAATTGACCATCCACGAAAACCTCGAAAATTAGTGCCCCACTAATAATTATGATGGAATATTTTATTAATTTTCTTTGGTTGGGATTTAAGTAATACAAATACTGTTTCAAGTCAAATTGTTTCAGTCAAAAATAACAATATCAATACTAACGGTGTAGGGCTGGTTTTCGGTTTGGGCATATTCTGTAGCACAGGGGAGATTTTTCTTTCTTCTCATCGTAGTTCTTCCAGAGGTCATACAAGTGAAGGATTTGACGCGTGATCTCTAAGATTTTGTCCATATCTACTGACAATTCTGCAAACCATTGTTTTAAATCTTTTTGTTGGATCACGCATGCTATATGTAGTGCAGCTGGAAAATAAAAAAAAATTAACAGTTCAAGTAAAGTAGTAAAGTGGACTATCATTTCCTGAAATCTATTTTTAGAAACAAACGTCACTGATGCCTTATAAATAGCTCTCAGGACGTTATTGTGAGGAGGGCTTAACAGTGATATGATGCACATTTCAAAGATGGAAGTACAGAAATACTTAGTTCGAAACAACACAGAATTGTTTTCCAACAAGAAATAAAAGGTGAAGGCCGCTTAATTTGTATTCAATACTAAGAGGGATTCTATGGTAAGAAAGATGAGGACAAATACTTACATAAAGCAATAAGGTATGGAGGATAAAGTAAAGATACATCTGTACGAAGTGAGTCATTCACTATCCTCCTGTAACATATATAACAATAATTTAAGTCCCCAAAGAGGGAAGACAACAACTTATAACATGTCAAAATGATGATTTTCTTCAACTAGATTTAAAACTTACGGTATTAAAACAAATTTAGTTCACAAAAAGGGAAAAAACAAAATTATATGTCAAAATGATGGCATTTCAAATGGATTGAATACAAGAATTTTTATAATCTATCATTAGGATATTATATTATTATGTTAAGTGTTTATCTTATAAACTTCAAGTTTGTCATGTGGCTATTTATTAGATAAGCAGCCGTGAGTACACGAGAGTTCTCGTTAGTGAACGATATGCCCGCCATGAGCGTTCTTAGCCAATCGCGAAAGCATTTGTGATATTTATATAAACTATATACGGTTGCCATCAATTAATGAATCACTTTCATCTTTTTCTTCAATAAAAGAAGTTTTCTTCGTTATCAAGATTCTTACAATACACCACAAATCTAGGTAATACACCACAAAATCTTACCAAGCCAGAGGAAGTATACTGTCATCTGTAGAACTTATATCAGACACATATTGCACTAAAGGTCTGTAGGGATGATACACAACCAAACAACAATCCTGCAATAAATCAACCAAATTTTTTAATTCTTACAAATTTTATAATCACAAGGAATTATTGTGACATTATTAATTTGCTGGTTACACTTAAATCTTTGTCTGGACTAAAATTTCTAAATGTGACTTTTTATTACTCTAACTACTCAAATTTGTATGCAAATTTCAAGATTTGTTGTAATCTTGTTCATTGGTGCTAATTTACAACTTAACCCATAGCATGTTATTTTGTTTTATTAATGTCTTCTTCTAGGGAAGTGGTTTTCTAGTTTCATTGATGCAATATAGTACAATTTAATCTAAATAGATGAGTCAGCTCAGAACACCATTTTTTGAAATTTTACAGGAGGATGAAAAAACTGTTTAATTTTCCCCCTACTAGTATCTTCTAATATTATATTAGTTTTGTATCATGCTAAAGGCCTGGAAACATTTGTATACAAGTGGAATTCATTTTTAATGGTTTAAAAGCCAAATAGAGTTAGCATGGGTTTTGCACTGAAAATTAAAGACTTTTCAAAAAACAACTGAGTGCAAAACTAGGCTAAGTCAATAGTTTTTTCCATCATCATGCATCAAAACAAGACTGTAAATAAGGAATTGCCATCAGAAATTCCGAGGAACACTCTACAGCATACATGTACACTGGTTTAAACAGATATCTGAGGACAGTTTAAAGTGCTTCAATTTGAAAATTTTCAAACCTTATTAACTTTTGTATATAAAGAAAGTAAAAAAGCTCAACACTGTTTTATTCAAGTCATTATTAAAAGTTTAAGAGATTAATGGACCCACACAATGTAATATTTTTGCCCTGTCCTATAATAATCATCCAAAAAAGCTACATTTTATTACACTATTGCCACAGATGATAGTAATATCTAATTATGACACTTAATTTGCTGAAATAGTAGGTAATAAACCTTTTACCACCAGCATAAAGCTGGGCCAGGTATGACATCCTTACAGTCGGACCAGGTTTCATACTGTTGGCTTTTCTTCTTTCTATTTTTGAAATTTTGATATCAAAATCCCTTTATTTTTAATGGACTTTTACAAATTCAAAGATTGGCAAATCTGTTACATAAATCATCAGATTTGGGTAATAAGCCCCTCCCCCACACCCCTCCCCTCCCAAAAAAAGTGAATATAGAGTACAAACCATCATTTCTAACAGGTAGAATTCACATTCCAGCACATTATTTATTCTGTATGGATACTCTTGTGGATAAGCATGTGAAAATTTGTTTTTAACTGAAATACAATAGAAAATCAATTGTATTCAATAAACTCATATAAAGCGCATTAACCAACCATTTATTCTTTAAAAAATTGTATGAGTATTTACATCATTAAATTTAGTTTCTATTGTTGCTTTCACAGATTATAACACTTTGAATTCACCTCAATTTTAGCTGCATTGATATTATAAAACAATAAATATTGGCCTGCCAGGATATATATACAGTACAAGTATATTTACCAATGGGGATTTTCAAAATCAAAGGACATGCAATTAGGCAATTTCTGTATGCATTAAAAGAATGGGTTACACACAATTATGTTTGTAACTTCCTTTTATTCTAGCTGAGTAAAACCACAGATTTCCTCCATTTTCCTGGATAATTTTAGGTAAGATCAGATATGTGGATTAAAGCCTGTTACTGCATATGATTTCCTTTAAGAAAATCTACTTCTTGTCAAACTCACTGTGATGTATGTGAATAATAAAACACAAATTTAAAAACCTAATAAAATAACTTTTGAGTTTAAAGTGACATTTACATTATGTTCATTTTTTTCATGTCAAGTTGAGCTGAATTGAATATACTTTCACCAGTTGACTCAATGTACCCTTGGATGGGCAAAATGCCACTTTATATCAAACATGCTACTGTATTTCCAATATATAACTGCGAAACTATACATACAGGTTGTTCTAATAAGCTAAAATAAACAAAATTTACATACCTACGGTCTGACATGTGGTAATCAATCTACTGTTGGATATAACACCAAATTCCTGTCAAAAAACCAAAACAGAAAACACATGTTTAAAAAGGGTAACACAAATTCTTTTATTCATTACATTTATCAGTAAATTATAGACCTGTTACCATCATTCATTTGCCATTACCCTACTGAATTGAGTAATGACTAAAGAATTTGTTAGTTCACAAAAACATGAACAAATCAAGTTTCAAGTGAATACAATCAGTAGTTCTTTTGAAAGATTAATGTTGCTCCTTATCTGTCCTCATCAAATTATGATCCCAAAGGCATGTATAAAGTTTCATATGAATACCTTCAATACAGTACGCTCACCGCGGGTTTTGCTTTTTCCGCGATACCACCGCGGACGATTTTTTTTTATCGCGGACAAACGCGGGGGTTCGTCCACGATGAGAAGCCTAATTTCCCCGCGATCCCCGGTGTTCAGTTGTTTCCACCGCGGACAAAATTCTGACGACCGTTCTTCATTTATCGATAAAATCAGTCACCCGTTTCCCGCGGGGGAACGCCATGGTCAGTTGGTCAGTATAAAGTAACTTCATAAAATAATAGACGTTTTATTATTTTTTAACGTCATCTTTTTTACACAATGACTTGAAAATTGACCACAATCGTCTCCTTAAATGTTAATATACGTTAAATTATTTGAACGGAATTTGAAATAAAAATAATTACAGCTGTACCTGTTTTTGTTGTTGTTTTTGATATTTTTGTTATAAACGTCCACAAAACTATTCGTCCACATACCAATATTTTTACAACTGAAATCGTCATTTATCACTGTCATCTTTACTTGTTCATTCCTTGTGGTTCTATAAGTATTATTGCTGTTAAACTATATGGGAGCCATAAATATGATACTTAGTAAAAAAGGACATTTGTGCTGATTTCTCAATGATGACTGACGCTACAGTACATGTCTGTAAGAGGTCGATGAGTGTGAATACAAGACAGGACATAAATAAAATACATGTACATATATTAGAAATAAAAAAAAGATATTTAAACCATCTATACAATTTTATTTGTATGCAATTATACTCTTTAAAAATGGGTAGACTTGTTTGTTTGTGTTTTTTTTTCAGTATATACAGCCTTATATACACGTATGTACATGCATACTGTTCATAATAAAATAACAAAAGTATAACGTCAAGTTTAACAAAATTCTGCAAAAAAATCTATAAAAAAATAAAAAAGAACAAGCAAACAAACTACTAAAACAAAAATGAAAATAAATTTCTACAGTTGATACAAACTTCAAAACATATACATTACGCTCACACCTGTAATTAGATAAATCAAAATATCATTTAATGTATATTTTGGTGAAATAAACGCTTTCTTTTAATGTTCCAAATAAAATATAAGACTTTATGATCAACATGCAAATAAACAGAAACAGTAAAACGCATCTGACAATTGAAAGAGACGTCCTGGAATATTGCCTGAATAAAATTGTTGAGGGTTACGTTTTCAAAGTTTTTAAATAAGAAACAAAAGCTGGCATATAAATTGTTGTAGTATCTTTTTCATAAATGTCATATGCCGAATTTTTCATTATTTGACTTCAAGTTTCTCACTACCATGACGTTGCGACGACAATGATTTATCTTGATGTCGAATGCATATTATACATTACCCAACACAATAACAAGAAGAAGAACAAGAAAAACACTGCATTTGTACATGTACTTTTATTACAACAAAAAAGAAAGAAAACAAACAAATTTTACATATAGTTACATGTATATGTACAGTACATGTTACAGTACATGTACGTACGTATACTTATGTTTAAATACAGTAATTATTTTTTAAAATTTAAGGTTTCCACCGCGTTGACCGGTGTTTGACCGCCGCGTTCCTCCGCAATTTACCACTGCGTTCCGCGGGGGAAACGGTTTCAGCCGCCGATTTATGTCCGCGGTGGTGAAAATTTTCTGTCCGCGGGGTCACGCGGACAAAATCTGAGCATATTTTCGTCCGCGGTAAACCTCATCCGCGGGGTCACGCGGGTTTTGAAAAAGTCGCGCTGAGCGTACTGTAAGTATAAAGATTAATACTGCACAAAAAACTTGAACCAAGATTTTTTAGTTTGAAAGGGCCATAATTCAGTCAAAATCAGTGTGAGGGTTATCAGTGATTTTCCTACTTATATAACAGACTCTGAAAAAAGGCATCTTCCCAATTGAAAATTTCTTTAAAATCATGCAGTTTTCCCAAAAATCTGAACTTAAACCACCTTTTTTACTTCCCAAATCAGCAAATTTAGCGATATTTTTTCCCAAAATCAAGTGGCTAAGGCCTCTTCCCAATTAGTTAGAAAAATCACTGGTTATGGACCTTGGACAGTGACCTACCATTATGAGTCTGAAGACATGTATTTACTGTAGCTTAAAGTGAATACCTTGAGTTGTTTTGAAGATTAATATTGCAGAAAACACTAGCCAAGAATTTTCCAAGTTCAACAAGGGCTATTATTCAGTCAAAATCCATACTAGACTTATGGGCCTTGGAGGGTAACATACTATTATGTTCTCTAAAATAAGAGTGTGAAGTTACAAGCAAATATCGTGGTTGATGAGATATAATGTTGCTATCAGCAAAACTTTAACCAAAGTGTTAAGCTCACACAAATGCCAATGTCCCATTGAATAGGATATCCCTATTATTCAAAATTAATTGTCAAGCTAAAAATCAGTAAACTTAACAGAAAGCGTTTCATGGTTTTGTAGTAATGTCCGAGCTTGCATGAATTAATTTTAAAAACTTGATGCTAACTCACCTCAACTTTTGAAGCTAAAAATATACTGGTTGGTGCCATAAGCCAAGGATCTATACATTTCAATGAATTTCTGAAATCAAAATAATGTGTTAATATTTCAACATTTATAAAACAACCTATTTCATGACAATAAAATTCAATTATATCAATGCTCATTTTTTTATTCTAATTATACTTGTTCTTTATGTAATAAGTACATTTATGTTCCACTTGCCCCTCACCGCAATGGGTTCGAATCCCGACGGACTTTGCATTCTTTCATGTGAGGAAGCTATCCTACTAGCTTACGGTGGTTCTACTCAGGTGCCTGTTTGTGCCTGAAATAATGCACAGAAGGGCATCTGAGGTCTTCCTCCATCAGTAAAGCTGGAACGTCGCCATATACCCTATACTGTGTCCATATGATGTAAAATCCAATCAAAAAAAAAACAAACAAACAAACATTTATGTACTTTATTCAAGTTAAACTAAAGTTGTATTTTTCAGGGCAATTAAATCTGCTGAATCAGAAAAAGAAATGTACGAGTAATGTGCAATGTATATGTATACATATATAATAACAACAAAAGATAATTTTCATATCACACTATGCATGCTTTTCAATTTCTATAAAATTAATGTGCCACTGGGTAACTGTATGAATGGGAATAAGTGACTTGTGTAAAGGTAATGATTTACTTTCATTTCTTTAAGTTGCTTGAAACTACATATTTATAATGTGTTGCTGTTAACAGTTTACCGTGCATAAAATCTTTTGAAATAGACTGTAGCTGTGGCTATAACTTGCTGTCGAACTTTCAGCTGCTCTCCCAGGGCTTGTATAACTAAATGTAAAACATATACAACATGTAAATAAATATAAATTATCATTTTCATGCAACAGTATTTGAAAACTGCAATAGTTGAATTTAAAGTTAAGGTAATTTGTTTCATGCTGATCTGAAAACATCAAATATGTTAGACTCTCATAAAACTGTAAAAATTAATGATTAAAATGGAAATTAAAATTACCATTCAATGTTTTCTTAAGTTATATGTGTTGTATGATATTTTTGAACATATAACAAATTCCCAATGAAGTTTTTCTTTAAAATCATGCTGCTTTTTTAATTCCTAAATAAGCAATTGTGGCAAAAATTCTTCCCAAAATCAAGAGACCCAGGCCTCTTCCCAATTATGTGAGAAAAAAACACTGGCAAATCTCTATGATCAATTTATTTTCATTCATTCTTTTGACTACAAATGGACCAAAGAATCATAAATTCACATTATTATCAAGTTTACATACAACATGTATAGCTTTAAAAACTTACAGTTAGCAAAGAATATCATGCATTTTTCATAATCCTCTTCGTTCATTATTTTCAGGTCAGCCTGACGCTCTCTTGCTAAGTCTTGTCTGTCTAGCAGCCATTGCTGACTGAAAAAGTAACACACATTTATTAACTTTTTATGAAAGTTAGACCAGTCCTATTAAAAATTTATAATAAATGTTTTCAGTTTCATTAAGATGTTTTGCTCTATTTTGCAACTGTATGACTATGAAGGAAAACAATATAGTGGCCATGGGTGCAATCTGGCAGTGCTCTTCATATTACTACTTTTAAGCTGCAGTGATTTCTTTATTTTATTTTCAAAACAACCTTAAATGGCATTCTAAAGGGGAAAATATAGCACAATAAATCAGAAAAGTGGGAACCTGAAATCAAATTCCTACAACTGAAAATGGAATTTAATCACACATTCTGTAAATATTTCAATTTCAAATTATAATTCAATTCAATTTAACATGCTTAAGCCTTTGTACATAGCATTAATATCTATAGCCAATTAAATTTATCAACTAGCTGATATAAGTTAGCTGTTCTTTCCATTTAATACTAAGAAAGGGGTCGAGAAGCTCTTAGCAGGAATTAACACCTCCAAAGCCCAGGCACCAGACAAGATATCAAACCTAGTGTTGAAGACCTGTGCCAACCAGATAGCAACTGCCTAAAGCACAATCTTTCAGTTTTCAGTTGATACTCAGGTAGTAGAACACTTCTTTCTGACTGGAGGGACGCTAATATTTCTTCAATAAAGGCGATGTATACATAGCCAAAAACTATAAACCAGTAATGAGTATCTTTAACATGTTTATCCTGTAAACTCCATGAGCATATTATCATTTGTTAACATATTTTTGTCCACCCAGAGGCAAACAACATCCTGATCTCATTAAACTACGGCTTTCGTTTTTGCTTTTCTTGTGAAACTCAGCTACTCACAACAGTCCACAACCTCCTCTCAAGGCATAATTACAGATTGACATGGCCATACTTGATTTCATTGAGGTCTTCGACACCGTGCCTCATAAGAAACTTTCCCATAAGCTTCAGCTGTATGGAGTCAATGGCAATAACTTATGGAGTCAATGTTCAGCAATAGCTGGCTAAAAGACTTCCTAACCAACAGGTCAATGAAGGTAGTAGTAGAGGGAGAGGAATCCGAACCAGCCACAGTTGACTACGGCATGCCACAGTCCACTAGGTTTATCGCAGGTGACTACACCACCAGGTTCCCTGGGTGCGTCACACAAATGCTTTGAGACCTGAAACTACCTTCACTCCAGAACTTAAGGACAGCCAACAGACTGACAATGTTTTATTAGGTGGTTAGGGGCTGGTGACAGCCATGCCTTGCCAAGACTACTTGAAGCCTGTCCAATCAAATAAACGTAGAGTGAAAGCTAAGACGTTTGAGAATTGTGCCAAACATTATTGAAAACAAGATAATAAATCACTCTAAATGCTTTAAAACTGTCAAATGTAAAACTCTAAGTTATAACCAATCATTTCTCCCATGAACAATTGTTGATTGGAATAAACCAACTTTACCAAGTGATAGTGTTATGCACAGTAGACGGCTTCAAATCAGCCGTATTCCATTTGGACTTACTACTCTCTTCCGTTGCTTATATGATGAAAGGCTCAGCAATGTACCATCCAGACCCAGGAGACATTTTAATTAAAATTCATTACATATTATACATATATCCGAATAAGAGCTTATCCGAAATTTTGTAACAAAGACTTATCTGTAATTACGGTTATAAGCTTCAACAAAAAATGTATCTGAATTATTTTTTTATTGACAAACAAGAAAATGTTAACAAGAGTTTAGTATACGTACAAATGAGAGCTTTGCCAAAAATTACCAGCCATTTTTGCGCTTTTCTTCGAAAAATATTCACCGGTTTTATGACCGGTGCACATGCTAATTTCACTTCGATCTTTTTATCCGAGTGTAAGGTGATTTTGGTGACAGGTAGATTTCAGGTAACCATTTGCATTCATTCATTTTTGGCATATATTTATTTTTTAACTTAACTCGAAACTATTTCGCATGATTTTAACTTAAAGTTCGTATTTAAGGGATTGCATAAATACCATTTCAGTTCACCTTCAAGTTCAAACTTTTAACTAAAATTGGGTTATAAATCTTCTCATCAGAGAGGCAATAAATTTTGTCATTTCACCTCAGACCTGCAGTTGAAATTTCTTACTGGTCTATGAAACTGTCTTATATAAATATCCTGTTAATGTAATGTGAATCTGCAGTTTTATCTGTTTATTGTACATATTTTCTTGTCTTATATACAGTTATAATTAAAAATCTAATAATCAGTAGACACTAGACAGTGAAATTATCAATATTATTTATGTTAGTCAATTCACAACTTCAAGAAAAATTGCACTTCAATGCCTTTTTCAAATCAAAAAGGCTTTAGGGTTTCTTCACAATAGAGAGGAAAAGGCTTGGTTTAGAAAATTTTCTTAAAGTTATAAGTTTTAAATATTATTTTATCATGTTATTGTTACTCATTTTTACCTCATTTGAAGGATCTTAAGATTATTTAAAGATAACAAATTAGTGTCTGTCAGCCATTATATTAATGACTTTTGATAGAGTCACCTAGCTAGACTTGTCAAGCAGGCTGACAATATTGACTGTCAAACTTTATTGCAGTAAATGTGCCGCATTTTCAAACAGTTTTGACAGTTTGACAAATGTTGGTCTTTTTGTTTATGTTTATCAGATTCTTTTTTTCTCTTGATGTAAGATATACCAGAGATATATACATGGACATGTATGTATGTTTTTTATGTTTATCAACTTTAATAATTATAACTTAAGGTAGTATAAATGATAAAGAATTTCCATAGAAATATTGACTGAATTTCTCTGGGACAAACCAATAAAACTGTTTATTATTCATGGCATTATGTGTATTACTAGTGTAAATTAAGTTTTAGATTATATAATTATTATGTAAATATCATATACATGTATGTATGACTTGTTATCATTGAAAGTTGAAATTAAATAGCACAATTAAATATGTGATATTTCATTTGCTAGTTGTCATTCTATAGCTCAACAAATTGTGAGCCAGGGTTTTTATATTGTATACATCAACTATGTTACATATATCTGTTTGTAAAGTTGGTAGATCTTACAGTTGAAATATTGAGACTTGTTGTCATTGCAGATTTTTCCAAAACAGTTATTAAACAACCACAATGTACGGGTTCAGCAAACAGAAGTCAGGGATTGGTAGTAACATGATCCAGAACTACATGGAGAAACAGATGAGTACTCTACATTCATCTAGTTCTCAATCAGTGACCAACTATAAAGACAAGGTCATTTCATTTCTGATGGGAGCTTTGGTACTGGTATTACTGCCATATTTCCATATAGGTAAGTTTTGACAGACAATAGAAATGAAGAAAAATAATTAGTGTACCTACATGTATAGGCCTACATTTTAATGTTTTGATGGCAATTTATCTTTATTTTTCTGCCTAAAATAACTAAATACATCGTCTATATCTATCTATGTAAGTCTCTGACAATTTCTTACTTTTATATTTCCATTTTCAATAATTTCTTTTGGACGTTATCAAAATTTTTCTATATTATATTTTTTACATTCATTTTTCTTGAAAAGTAAAATTACAAATGTAGTGTATATTTTGTTAAAATGCAGAAATATATCTGGAAGACTCTTGTTGGCATCCTAATATATATATTACTATTATAGTTAACATTTTATTTCTTTCATAATTAATGTCTAATTTTAGGTATTTATCATCTGAAGATTTGGGTACCGGACAAGCCTAGAATAGCTAAAAATAACTGTACTTGTGACTGCTTTGACACTGTGTTTAGAGGTAATGATTATACATCATTTTTTTGATAAAATGTTTTTTGATAATATCTAGTGATGACAGATGGTAAACTTACTATTCCCTGTGAAAGACAGAGGGATATAGATTTTGCATTGTCCGTACGGATGTTAAAAATGTCTGCACTACCAAATAGGGATAGGGTGCCATCTAACTGTAAACAAAACAAAAGAGAACAGTAGAGTTAATTCAGTAACAATAGAGGAAATGCCCAATGGCCCTCTATTAAAAAAAGAAAATAACAACAGAAATAGCCCCTTATTCCATTTCAGTCATATGTCGCAATGTCTGGTACCTTTGCAGCACATTGACCATCACAGATATTGAATGGATTAGAAAATTAAAAAATTTTCAGTTGAAAACCTAAAACTTCATTATGTGGCTACATCTCTTTGAGAAATGTAGAGTATCATCAACTCTCATTTGAAAACATTCTGGAGATATTACCCTTTGAAACTTTAATACTTTTTTGTATTGAGCATACGTAAAACATAAAGCAGGCACTTTCAAACTTTAAACTGCAAAGTGTATTGTATTAGAACAGAAACTATCTTTTGCATAATTTTGTAATTATTGCCCTTGGAGGTATCTATTTCAAATCTCACAGCAGTATTTATCTTATTAATGAGGAGCACACTGTTCTAAAATCCTAACTCTCTTTTATATGATATTAGAGTTATTGCCCTTTGTAATTATGTCTCCCCCACCTCGGGGGAGACATATTGTTTTTGCCCTGTCCGTCCGTCCGTCAGTCCGTCCGTCCGTCAGTCCGTCAGTCCTTCCGTCCATTCTTCGTTTCCGGACGATAACTAGAGTTCCTTTTGACCTACAGCTCTCAAACTTCATAGGATGAATGGTCTTATTGAGCAGATGATCCCTATTGTTTTTGGGGTCAGTAGGTCAAAGGTCAAGGTCACAGTGACCGTTGGTCAATTTCTCGTTTCCGGATGATAACTAGAGTTCCTTTTGACCTACAGCCCTCAAACTTCATAGGATGATTGGTCTTATAGAGCTGATGATCCTTATTGTTTTTGGGGTCAGTAGGTCAAAGGTCAAGGTCACACTGACCGTTGGTCAATTTCTCGTTTCCGGATGATAACTACAGTTCCTTTAGACCTACAGACCTCAAACTTCATAGGATGATTGGTCTTATTGAGCAGATGATCCCTATTGTTTTTGGGGTCAGTAGTTCAAAGGTCAAGGTCACAGTGACCGTTGGTCAATTTCTCGTTTCCGGATGATAACTAGAGTTCCTTTTGACCTACAGCCCTCAAACTTCATAGAATGATTGGTCTTATAGAGCAGATGATCCCTATTGTTTTTGGGTCAGTAGGTCAAAGGTCAAGGTCACAGTGACCGTTGGTCAATTTCTCATTTCCGGATGATAACTAGAGTTCCTTTTGACCTACAACCCTCAAACTGGGGGGAGACATATTGTTTTTGCCCTGTCCGTCCGTCAGTCCGTCCGTCCGTCAGTCTGTCAGTCCGTCCGTCCATTCTTCGTTTCCGGACGATAACTACAGTTCCTTTTGACCTACAGCTCTCAAACTTCATAGGATGAATGGTCTTATTGAGCAGATGATCCCTATTGTTTTTGGGGTCAGTAGTTCAAAGGTCAAGGTCACAGTGACCGTTGGTCAATTTCTCGTTTCCGGATGATAACTAGAGTTCCTTTTGACCTACAGCCCTCAAACTTCATAGGATGATTGGTCTTATAGAGCTGATGATCCCTATTGTTTTTGGGGTCAGTAGGTCAAACGAGTGGAGTCATCCCAACACACTACAGTTATCATGATTTGACATACATTGAAATTTGAGTTGTATTTTCAATAGTGTAAAAAATCTGACAATATGAACGTTTGTTTCAAGTATCATCAAAATCCTTCAAAGGGTTGAAGAGTTATGGAGCAGACACAATTTCCTTTAATTTCGTTTGTGAAACTATATATGATATGACATTCAAGTGTCAAGTAGACCTTGACCTTGGAACCAGCCATACGAAACATGTACTCTACACGTTCTCTGGATGTGGTGAATTTTTGTTTCAAGTATCTACCAGAGAGGCTTCATTGTGAAAACGAGTGGAGTCATCCCAACACACTACAGTTATCATGATTTTACATACATTGTAATTTGAGTTGTCTTTCAATAGTGTAAAAAAATCTGACAATATGAACGTTTGTTTCAAGTATCATCAAAATCCTTTAAAGGTTTGAAGAATTATGGAGCAGACACAATTTCATTTAATTTCATTTGTGAAACTATATATGATATGACCATCAAGTGCAATTTCGTTTGACGCCCGCCTGCCATACGCTGATTGAATAACCAGGATTTTCAAAATTGAATACCTGGTTAAAAACAAACAGTTTAGGAAGCATCTTCTCATACAACCTTAACAATAGAAACCATCCATAGACAGCCTTCATTGAAGTGACTACCGGGTATTTACATTATCTTATCTCCATTTCCATTCCTGTTTCCATTCACAGTTATTCTCAGCAGTGGGGGAGACATGCGCTTTTTTACAAAAGCATCCTCTAGTTTTTCATTTCAATTGGGGATATTTATTTAGTGCTTTCTTGATACTGACTCAGCAATATATTTATATCATAATTGATTTTCTCATAGTTTTGTCTTTAATATTTGCATCCAGTATTTAATAAGTAAAGCGTGCTGTCTCCTCCGATTGAGGTTGAGGGTAAAGTATAAGAAACATTTCTGTTAAAGTTTTCCACATCTGGCCTTAAAAACTCTCCACATATGACCACTTGAATAATTTTAAGGTGATTGTACAGTTTTTGAAATTCTTGCAGGATATTATACCAGTTTAGAAACAGTTAAAGTTTTATTTACAACCTTAATTAAGAGTGCCAGCATGATTTTAAATGTTAAAATTTTTTTTGGATAAATTTTAATATATTTTAGGGCAGTATGAGAATCCAGGTACAACACGATATAAACATATCTACTTCAATGCGACATGGCAGACGTTCCGTATCTGGATATTGACTGTTGTATTTATATTGATGGCATATGAGAGCATCAAGTATGTTATACCTCTCGTACGACGGAATAAAGTTAGGATGTCAATGTTCGCGCTGTATGTACTAAATATGTAAGTATCTAATGTTATATTGTAAGTTTTCTTATGTTGTAAAATAGATAGTTTGTAACTAGATGTTGTCACTTGTTAGGGGCGTCTGTGGCCGAGTGGTTAAGGTTGTCGACATCAAACCACTTGCCCCTCAACGCTGTAGGTCCGAATCCCGACAGCTACTTTGGATTCTTTCATGTGAGGAAGCTATCCAACTAGCTTATGGAACATCAGGGGTTCTAGTACTCATGTGCCTGTTTAAGCCTGAAATAATACAAGGAAGAGCACCTGCGGTCTTCCACTACTAGTTAAGCTGGAAAATCATCATTTGACCTATACTGTGTTTGTGCAACGTAAAAACCCCTACAAAAACAACAACAACAACAACAACCAAAAAAAACCTTTCTTGTTATTTGAACAGAGAAATATAAACATCTACATGTAGCAATTGTTTAAGTTACACATGTTTTATATAAAAATGATTCATCACACAGTGAATTTTCCAGGTTTTTTTTTTGGCGTTTTCTGGTTTTATAATTATAAAGTTCATGTGATGAAAAGAATCTTACATTAGGTATTATTCTATAATTATCTAAAATGTTAGATTGTACTTCCTGACAGTTATTCCAATATTCACATTGATTCTGCAGGTGATAAGACTGTTTAGCATAAAGAAAATTTTTTTTCGATTTGAAATACATGTATGATGTCTTTTCAAAGACTATAATTTCATCTGAATATTTTGTTTCAGTTACCCCCATTACTATTCCTGGTGGAGTTACTTTAGTTATTACAATGAAGATTTCTACAGATATTTCAAACATCACATGTGGTTCACTATAACGGAGGTCATCACAACTTGTATTGTCCTCAATCTTTGTGACAAACGTAATGAGATTGTGTCCTGGAAGATCCTCGCCATTATTAGTATTAATTTAATGCATATCTGTGTGGGAGGCATGGACCAGTTCATATCTGATGTTATATTTGGGCAAGGAGCTAATTTCCATAAAGCTAGAAATATAGGTAAGTATATGCACACATTCCTGCATAGTCTTTCTTTTATTAAAAAAAAAGCCTGAAATACAAACAGTCATGGTTGCGTTGCCACCACCAAATTTTTTTTTTTATTTCCAATAAATTGTCTTTGACACAGCAATACTTTGGACAGTATCATAAAGTAGGCCAGACTGAACTTGAACTCCATCCTTAAACAACATTGACATTCAATTTCATTCATCGGCTGATTTAAACCAATAACTAATTTTAAATCAGTTCAAAATTGACATCAGTTTACTGCTATCAAATGTGTAAAAGATATTGTAACAAAGTTTTTGTGTTTTTTTCCAGCCTTGATGATCCCAGATTGCATGCATGTAATAATACCAGCTTGGGAATTGTACACCTTTGCTAAACGAAAGGAGTTGAAAATCAATGAAATATGCTACAAGGAGGAGATATTCCTGTGTGTTATTTTTGTTTCTATGGGAACACTGGTTGGAAGACTGCTGTAGAATCTGTTTTAATGTGGTTTGTTTTTATTAATGTGACTTGATTATATGCAGCAAATAGTGCAACATGAAAGAAGAATCTGATGATCTGTGCTTAGAATATACATGTCTGTTCTCATGTTGATGCTTTATTGCATCTGTTACACATTTAAGAATCTCAAGCATTTAAGATATTATGTTGTGAGAAATCAAACATACAAATAATGTAACCATTGCAAATGGAGAACAACTGTGACCACAAATAATTGACAAAATGCTTTGATTGGCATTTTAATAGTTACATGCAGAATTTATGCTTCAGTTCTTAACTAGTCTTCTAAAAAATAAAATTAAATTTAAAGAAAAGACTAGTATGAACTAATGGGACAATTAAGAGATCATTCAAAGAAATGGCAGATTGTCAAATGGTTGTTTGTGGAAAATGGATTGTATATTTACATACAGTGTTACTGTTTGAAGTTTTCCTTTTATAAATTTTTATGTAAAAAGTTCAGTGTGTTCAAAACAGTTTCATTCTTGATTTTCAAAATGGTGCTTATACATGTATTATAAATTGTTTGATAGTTGTTTTAAAATTCATGATCATTTAAAAAAACAAATTTGAGCTGTATGGTTTTTTCTGTACTGAAGGTTATACAATAGCTACATATCAATATTTACTTTAGGTCTAGGTTTAGTAATTGATGCAATACCAATATACTCTGTGAATGATTACTTGTTTCAAGTTGACAGTTTCTTGTTAGAGACTGAGGTACATGTAAAGAAGTATGTAAAGAATACAGGTATAGATTGCTTCAGACGAATATAAAATAATTAATTGAAATGTGTATTATAGACATGTGTACTAGTTCATTTGCCTATGTGTCTTTTTCATAGAAAATGTTACCTCTAGTTATAGATTGTTGTTTATGCTTACTGAATTGCATACACTCATCAATGTAAAATATGTTTCTGATATTAACATTTATAAAAATAGATTATTAAATAGTGTTATTACATGTTCAGATACATTTATTTCAATGTTTATTTTAAAAAGCAACTATTCATGCCTATTTCACAAAACATAACATGTATGTTTATTCCTGTTATAAAACATATTATGTGCATTTTTGCCTAAATCATAAAAACATTCCAAGTCATTTATTTTCATGTCTGTTATGCATATGCGTAACAAATGTTTAAAGTTTTTGCCTTTATCATAAAACATTCCAAGTTTGTTCATGCCTGTATGTGCATCCAAGCCAAATTGCAAAATTCAAGTACATGTATCATGTTTTTATTTTTACTCATAAATAATTAACATTTCATTATCGTGCCATGTGTCTTAAGGGGCGTCTGTGGCTGAGTGGTTAAGAACTTATCCAGCTAGCTTACAGAATGTCGGTCGTTCTACTCAGGTGCCCGTCCATGCCTGAAATATTGCACAGAGGTGCACCTGAGGTCTTCCTCAAACAGTAAAGCTGGAAAGTTGCCATACAAAATATGTGTCTTAACGTGATAATTAATATATTACATTTCCTTTTTATCATACAATGATTTTTTTCTCCATTAACAATGCTATATTCTCTAATTATTGGGTTCTTTTCTCAATTTAAAACTGATTTCAATTAAAAACTGAATTTGCAGGATTATCAATCAAATTGATTATATATGTTTTTGCATTATGACTTTCAATATTTGTCATCAGATGAATTGACGCAAGTGATTTCACTAATGTGTACACGCATTTTCATTTTATTATATCCTACTTTATTATATCCTACGGACATTCCATTGTTTTTTTAAATCTTGTCATATTATGATTCCATTGTCGTATTTAGAAAAGTAATACAGAATATTTATTCTACATGCAGACGGACAGTTAAGAAACATATTTACATATATCACATCATATCACAATGTACTACTAAGTTGTTTCATATTATATGGTTGTGAAGTTTATATGTTTTTATATATGCTTGCAGGGACTTTAATTACAAAGATCGAAAACTCCAAGTTAACCATATATAATTTTCCTGTCGCTCACTCAATAACGGTATGTCAATAAATTTTTGCTGGCGCTAAGCATAAACAGATGCTTGCTTCACAAAAACCCCTGTAGCTTTACGATTTATTATCCAATTTGGAAATTTAAAGTTTATTTTGAAGTAAAATGCTTCTTAATTAATTCATGTACATGTACTTTTTAAAAAAAATCATACAGCCCATCTGTCCGCAACTACGGTTAAAAAAATAACAGAATGAGAGTTGCGGTAAATTTTCTGTAATTAAAGTCTGTGAGGCTTGTTATAAATCTCAAGCCGGTAATGGTACCAATTAATACTAGTCTAGATACATTGTAAATAAGTGTTACTGTTTTTATTTTTTTTTTTAAGAATTGCCATATTAATGTTTTGTAAATATTCATAGTTGCGAAAATGTATTTTATTAAACACAAGCAAATTTTCAATTCATATTTTATTAAAATGTTTAGAAAGTAATAAAAAAAACAAATAAAAGGAAACAGAGATTAAGATTGATTCATACATTATCCAGGCTTTTTTATTTTAATATCTAGCGCTGAGAATATTCTGAGTGAGATGTCCATTGTAAATCTGTTTTTATATATTTTGGTTTGTTTTTGCTTTACCTGTAATAAACTATTTCAGTAACAAATGACTGAAAATTTTTTGTGTTGTTGTTTCAGGGATTAATATACACCACATAACCTATTTCTGTCTTGATTTTTCTTAAACAATTAAGCAAACATGACACTAATTGACACTTATTATATTATTAATTTTATACTTAAAGCAGCACGCCTCCAAATCCATGCTAGTTTTGTATCTAAAAATATGATATTGTGAAGAAACCAAAATAAAGCAAATTAGTTACACATTATCAATGGCACTTACAACTCAGTAAATTACCAAAAAAGAGGTAAAAATGTGCAAAATAGCCCTTACTGTGTTAGTAACACGGTAGAAATATGATTATAAATACTGAACAAATCAGTCATTTAGCACATATAATATGTAAATTAATACTTGAAACTTGAATCTTTTAACTTTTTCTACAATCTTAGTAAATTTTTCTCATGTTTGACTATTGAAATAGTTTCACTCATCTGAAGGCATGCTGCTTTTAGTTTCATATTCATTTATATTTTTATAACTTTACATTTCAATGAAATATTATGATTTACAATGGCTCTTATATATAATCCAGATGTTTTAATAATGATCAAGATTGTACATGAGATATATACATGTTTATTATATATACTTATAAATTAAAAGTTGAGAATATTGATGAATTATAATGCATATTTTGTTTTCCATATTTTCACTGTAAATTTTTTTTCTTCACTGCAGTGAAACATATTTTTTGTATTTTCTCTGCTGTAAAACATATTATCTGTAATTTCACTGCAGTGAAACATATTTTCTGTTACATAAGTACTTCAGTCCATCCCTGATAGGAATCGAAAGAAATATTGATACTATAGATTACATTGAAACGGCATTGAACATAATTATATAAACACCATAATGGTACGGTTATTTCAATTACATTGATAAATTTTCTTAACATTGGATTTAAAACATTAAAATAAAAGGACTATTAAACTTTTAAAGGGATATTCAGGCAAAATAATGACAAAAATATTAAAATCATCTTATGTACTCAAATCACACTAAAATGACATTTCTTGAAGTTTCAGCATGAATTTCTGTTTAATTTCTAAATATTTTGGGTTTGAAGCATAAATACATCTATATATGTTGAACAAAATTTAGACCCGAATAGAGTCACCAAATGGTTATAAAACAAATCACATGACTTGAACAAACCCTTGAAGTTACAATAACAGATATTGTGGATATTGTACATGTTGTATGACACAAATCTAAGTCATTCATTCGACATGTTCTTTAATGTTTTCAGTGTTCACTGTGACAACTATTGTGAAATCCTAGTGCTCCAACCTGACCCGTGCGGGTCAAGTTAGGAAACCACCATTTTATTCTTTTTATGGAGAGAAGTTTTGTTCCTTTGACTATCTAATATATTCATTTTGAGGGGATTAACGAAATAATGACTGAAAAACTCAAAACTAAGAACTTTAAGTCATTTGGGTTATAATTATTTTATGAACACTGTTTACTATTGGAGAAAAAAAGTTGCTCAGTACACAAGGAGACAAGTGGAGGCTAGTGCATTATTGCACAGCATTAGTCCAATTATATTATGTCCTAGGCTTTACATTATCACATTTTTATGCTCCTTGAAGGGTGAGCATATAGTTGCGCTTTGTCCATCTGTCCATCCGTGCTATTTAAGAGAAGTAACAGTTACTGTAAACAGCACAAAAGAGAACAATGAAGGTCATTCCATAACAATAGAATAAGGGGCCATGGCCTTTATTGAACAAAAAAAAATATCAAAAGAAATGGCTTTTCTTGCCGCCAATTTTGACCCCAGGGCTTTTTTTTTTTAACAAACTTGGTAGACACTCACTAGAAGATGTTTCATGCCAAATATCTTAGCTCTAGTTCTTTGGCTTATTTAGAAGAAGATAATTAAAGTTTTTTCTTTTGGTTGCCATGGCAACCAGTGTTCTACATGGAATTAAATTCTTTGAACAATTTTTAAAGGTGACCACCAAAAGAACATTCCTGTGAAGTTTGGTTGAAATTGGCTTAGTGGTTTATGAGGAGATGTCATTTAATGTAAAAGTTTACGGACGCCGGCCGGACGGATGCCGCACGAAAAGCGATCACAAAAGCTCACCCTGTCACAAAGTGACAGATGAGCTAAAAATGTGATACAATCTGTTGTTGTTTCATTCGTAGACGAAACCATAAATAGTAAAATTCATTTTCGCCTTTTTATGGCTTACTGACGTAGAATTAGGAGTGTAAGATATAATTACCATCAGACAACATCCTGTTGACTACAAAATCAACACCTATCCTTTATCATTATTATGTCATCTTTATAACCTTAAAATCACACATAACATAAAATAATGGACTTGTCTAGCATTCACTCTGGACTAGGCCATTCATCATTTTAAGGGGGAAAATATCAAAATAAGCATTTACTAAAGTAGACACTAACCATGATCAGATAGCACGGACATTCCTGCAGATATATTTGGTCTGCACTGGCAGAAAGGGTAAATTCAGTTTCCACTAGCAGGCTAAGGAACAATATAGATCATACATATATATGTATTAGATGCCTGATAAAAAAAGAATAACAGATGATCCTTGAACTATGGATGAACTTTCTATATTTCTTCAATATTCATTATCAACCAGTAAATGTTGTTCATAACAGGATTGGCCTTGTACATTATATAAATTCAACTGAATCCTACTTCTTATACCTAAACTGAATTTCTAAAAATGGACTGTTCCAGATCTGTTAGAGTGTCCATATCAAGGTGTGAAGATTAAAATATGTGAGGGAACTGTATAAATCCTGAGTGGAATGCATGAATGTATAATCACTGGCCTTGATCTATACCAATGGCAAGGTGTGAATGTATAGGCTGGCTTAAATCTCTACCAATGGCAAAATTGGCCTAGATGTATACCAATGGCAAGGCACAAATGTATCAGCTGCCCTAGATCAATACCAATGGCAAGACATTAATAGATCAGCCTAGATTTATACCAATGGCAAGGCATGAATGTATTGGCTGGCCTAAATCTCTACTAATGGCAAAAGAACATAATCACCATTGAAGCAGGTTAATAGTTAGCAGGATATAATTACTATCATGTAATTGGAAAGCCGAAACATATATAAGACCCTTTAAGTGCAGAGAGGGTAAAAATTTCCAATTTTTCTTGGTTTTAATGATTTTCATGTCTCATATTGCATAACCATTTCTCATACAAGGTTCCATGGACTCTGATTTATACAGTTCTTTTTCAAAGACAATTGATACAGTCATTGTGCATTCAATAGTATCTTATCATAATTCTCCTCTATATTTATAAATCATACACAAACATATTCAACTTATATTCAATAGTTTATTGCCCATTTAAAGCTATAAAGCTAACAACAAACAATTGTATTTGCACTACAATTTCACTTCTGCACTTTCTTGCATAATTTTGTCCAATTCACTTCTTTTTAAAGTTCAAAATCAAAGTATTATTATCGTAAGTACAAAACATTACTGTTGAAAGACAGAAAAGCATTGTAAAATAAAGGTATATTTATGAGGTCACATGTCCCGCTAAGTGTACTAATACCAATGAAAGTAGAATCATTAGTACAAACATAGCCACCAAGTACACTAAAGTGCATTAAAGTACACCAAAAGGTCATTCATGGTCAAAACCATGTAGTAGGGGGGAATAGAGAATACCTTCTGTACAGGTGAGAAAAGTGGTATCATCCATCATGGAGTTGTGGAGTTGTTTATAGTGAGA